TTTTTAATGACCTGGCGCCTGACTAAATTTTCGATTTTATTTTCGGGGTGATTTGGTGCCAGAGGGCGGGCTGATGGACGAAGGGTTCCGTGAACCTTCGAAAATTACGTCGCAGTATATTCAAAAGCCGAAGCAGTCAGTTGTTTAATTATTCAATTAATTATTGTTCTCTATTAACATCATAAGCACAGAGAAACTTGTAAATATTTATAGTTCCTTGATTATTCACGGCTTAAATTGATCTCATGTCATACCCGGGCAACAATGAAAAAGTGGTGGACTGTGGATGTCGATCTGGATGAAGTTGAAGAACCAATAGTTTCGTCTGATGTCTGATCATAATGATGAGGCCAAAAATCATGATCATGAATACATGATGCTAGTCTGGATGAAGGTCACTTAGATGCTAGGAAAAGAGAGATTGACGACGAGACTCACCAACAGCTCATTGAAGTATATAACAATTTTTCGATGACCCATTGCATAATGGAGAATTAAAAAGACAAGCAGTTTTTGTTGTCGCCTTCCCGAAACAAGAAATTATGGTAAAATTAAGGACACCATGGACCTTTCTCTGGTATATGGTATCGGATTTGAAATTATGGTAGCGATACCATAATTATGGTATGGTTGGCAACGCTGGTCCTCGTTCATCTGAGCACTAGCGTTGACTTCATTCAAGTCTAGCTCCAGAGATCCTAGGTTTTTATTCTGATCCTCGAAGGTTTTGTTTATTGAACTTTCCAGGTTTGTCAGTTGGTTGGACTGGAACACCTTTGCCTCTTGGACTTGCTGTAATCCAGTGAATAATGACTTATTGCAATTAATAGATTCATCTTTGAGAGGAGAGACCGATAAAGTTGTGCGATTTGATGATTTAATTTGATTCATATGTGAAAATCCAGTCTCACATAAGTATGAAGTACCGAACAAACAAGCAATTTTTTTTATAAACAATTAATAGATTTGGATACGCGTTTGTTTCGAAAATTCGTTGCCAAATGCTATCTGAAGTTAGTTGCCAAAGCTCTGTGTCGTGTTGCAAATTAATTATCTCGTGATAAATCTGAACTTGGTTTACCGGATGAGATTTTTTTATTAATTAATGTGGAAAATTCGGCAGACGTCTCAAACTTTTTGGAAGAACGTAAAAATTCAATTACCATGCCCGTTTTAACTATATCTTGAAATCTAGAGTTAATATTATTCAACAGCTTTTCAGCACATACAGAAAAATTCGCGAAATCTAGTGCAAAACCTTCATGCTTATCTGCAAGACTCTGAACGCGTGAGAAAACGAAAGGAATACAATTTTTATTGAATTCAGCTATTGTGGAGGACCGAAAAAGTTGACAGTTTGAAGAACCTTTAGATACTCCCAAAAAAATTTGTTAAGGCCTTGCATTTGTTTGTTGTAAAAATTGATATTTTCCATTAAGTCAGCGGTATATGCAAGCATTGACAGCCATGGAATATCGTTCAATTCACCATGTTTATCATTGCAGAATTCGCAAAGAAGCTACGATTTCTTCCGGATTTTCCCAAAACCTTTCGAGCATAGCGTCCTTACTCAGCCACCTCACTTCTGTGTGATACAATAAATCGCGCGATTCTAAATCATTCTGTTCTCTGAAAAGATTATACAAACGGTGCTGCAGAGGTTTCGTGATTATGGAATTAATTAATTTAATAACCACGGAAATTACGTCAACGGAAATTTTCTTTACACATAATGCAAATTAATGGAGAATGCAATGAAAATGGCTGAATTCGAGAAAATCTAAATCATCTTTGCATTTCGCAATAAACCCTTTCACTCGCCCGGTCATGTTAACAGCACCAACCGTGGTGATACTAACTAACGTATCGAGCGGTTCTTTTGCAGCACTGAAATCGTTTTTCAACGCTGAAAAAATGTCCTCGCCTTTTGTCGTGGTTTGCATCAGAGTTGCCAGATGGCGAATTTTTTGAAAATGTTTTTTTGATTTTAAACAATCCCAATCAAGCAAGTCCAGCCGATAACGCGAATGATTGACACTTTTGAAATGGCCTAGTTGATATCTAATTCGAAGCTTGCTATCATCTATCCTATTCTTGAAAAACCAAAAACAATTTTTGGAAAAAATCGCCATCTGGCAACCCTGGTTTGCATGGAAAACATAGGAAATGGTTCTTCTTGGACTTGTGGCAAACGCTAATTATCACACAAAAGAAAGTACGTTAAAGGGGGGCGGGGAAATCTAACGTGAACACAAACGGGGAGAAGTTAGAGGGACCGAATGTCTTACAATAATTCTGGGCCATATGCCCTGCGATTAAAACTAAACGGACTAACATTTTATGCTGTGGCTTACCGTCGGGGGGGGGGGGGGGGAATTGGTAATTAGGGGGACTCGTTGGGGCGGAGATGCAGCAGGTGGGTACTCATGTGGGTGGGCGCCAATCTCTAACTCTCCGTCTTCCACCATCGTCCACGTTTTTTCTCCTGTCTCTCGCTGTCTCTCACTGCACTGCACTGCGCTCGGACACACCACTCTCTTCTATCCAAAACAGTCACTCCAGCTCTCACAAAGCTCTCACACCGTCTCAAGGGTCTCTCACAAGTTCTAAAATCTCTCTCGAACTCTCTAACAACCTGCACACTCTCTAATAATTCTTTCAATTTCTCTCAATTTCTCTCACACGAAAAAAACACGTCAAACTCCGGGGCAGCTGTAATACGAGTGATGGCCGTCGCTCATCCTCGCTTCTTCTTCCCCGATTATCGACGATAATCGCGGGTAATCGGGGGCACTCGTGATTTCGTGTTCTTTTCCCTTCCGTTGTCCTTGTGTGGTCAACGGAGGGATGCCCTCCTTCTTACGGGGCCACGTGGTTCGGCTAGCAGTGTGAGGGGGTTTGTGATTCTTCCATCCGAGTTCTCGCGTGTACTGGGCGAAAGGAGGAGGAGGGGGGGGGAATAACTCGGCAGTGGAACCCCAACGGCGGCAAATACCTTTTAACAATTCCTATAGTTATTGGGGGGGTGGGGGGGGTCTCAACAAATTGCCTCGTCGCAGAATATAAATTGTTTTTTCTGTTAAAGCCGGGCTTTTATTCAATCACGCATCTGAATCGAGAAGAAATTTTTCACTCGATCCAGATGCTTCGACTCGAAATCGCACAATCAGCATAAAAGTTTTTCTCCAATTTTTAAACATGCAAATGAATTTTCCCGCCTTAACAACCATGCTTGGTTGTTGAAGTTCGGGAGGCATTACATTTGCCGAATTTCTTAACCGGAGACTCCATCACAACTCACTGATGAACTGATGAAATTGGAAATTAAAAGGGATACTCTATAAATATTAACGAAAAAAGATATTATAGGAATAATTTGCACTGGCACTTGGTAGTTGAATACACTTGTGTATCTATCAGTCGAAAAGAATCTCCAGTGATGCTAACTTTGGTGTTAATTTATCCAGATTCGATAGGTTGTCCAACTGGAGCATCTAGCCGGTACGCAACTGACTTTGTGCCACAGAAACGAGCGTCAATAGACCTTCGATTGATGGATGATTTTGGTGCTGTAGCTATCGCAAGTCATGGCAGTTCACCCAGAGATTTTCGGAACACGTCATCATCGAATATTCGCAATATGTCGGTTGACAGGTCGTCAAGTAGGAAAACCAGCCTCGAGTTCCGAAAAAGCCCCGATTTCCGAAGAGCAGACTACAGGCTAGTTATACATACACTCTGTGATAAATCATTCACTGTATAGTTTTCTGGGATTTAATCTTGCATTGTCGGAAATTCACAGGTATTTCGATGATATTGAGGTGAGGTCTAGAACGAATATCAGTGATAGCAGACGACACAGGCAGAAGCTGAACCACTCAAAGTCTGATGATAACCGGAGAAGATCTTTTGATCGCCATAGGAAAGACTTTCAAGAAACTAGTAGACACTCACTCACTACACCCGTGCTTGTTGAAGGCTGTGGGCCAGAATATGAATTGAAATATTTCACTAGTTTATCATTCGAGACAGAAGACCGCATATCGCGTATCGCAGACGTTAACCATGTTGTGGAGATTAAGGAAACTAAAATTCAAGATTATGACAGTCCTGAAGAGCCTATTGATGGCGATGCATTATTAGAGGAGCCGGAGTTGGAAAACATTAATGATACTAAGATGTTCCCTAAAAATGAAAATGAAAAAAGACCTACCAGGAGCAATGAGAAAGATAAGGAAAAGGATAACAACTTCTCAGATGTTCTTATGAACGTTGACAAGTGAAATTTGCATTGAATCCTGAAAATACTAATATCAGTTTGAATAGATGATGTTTTTTTCCAAAATTATCCATGTCGATCTCAGAGTACAACTGGAAGTTTGCCCTTTCGAAAAGTTATAAAAGGTTTCGTAAAATTGGTGGAACTTTTTGAAAGCAACTCTGGAAACGATCGAGCGAAAACTCAGTACAGTGATGAAAAGGTGAAGTATATTTGAATCTAGTCTTCGAGATTCGAATACAAAATACCTACCATTAGCTGAAACTGCACGACCTCACAAACCCCATCCCAGTGCCCCAGCCCAATTATACGATCTGCGCTGGATATTCAACCGCCTTCCGTCTTCCGCGTCTTGAATGGAGCTTCGTGCGCAACAAAGGTGCGGACCGTAAGATCTCAACTAATTGTTGAGGCTCAAAATTCAGTATTCTTGTTCATAACAATTATTTACATTGGAGTATTGTTTTTCGCAGAAGTCGATAGAGAAACTCCTTCGCTATATGTCGATATTTTTTTATTTTCGATGAGATTAGCTCAATTAAGGCAGTTGATTTTCTTGGCGCGCAGCGCATAAAAAACAATATTTTTCAATTTATTCAACTGTCTGCCGGTTTGAATCGAGATGATACATTTGGATTTTTTTTTCAGGGCCTTTTTATGCACCGATTGGCATTTTTTCATTGACAGCTGAATAATGTTGGGTCAAGATCTAAATTGATTGGACTAATGTCATTTCCGGGTTTAAATATTCGGAAGTCATCGTACAATTAATGGGAAACTAATGGAATACCGAAAAGAGCGAAAAGAATTGATACGGAAAAAACTGCGAATTAGTTATGGAGGCTCACCGGTAGGAAGACTATAATCGGGAGCGATTACTCGTTACGGCAGCGAGGATAATACGAGGGTACTTAATTTCGGCTGGGGATACTTCTCTGCAATCCGATGTCTCTTCGGCTTGCCAAACATCTCCTCAACCTTCTCTCTGTGGGTGATCTTTCCTTCTAACTTTCTCCACGGTTCCTCCGTTCTTCATTTAATGATGGGAATTTCTCCACAAAGAATTTCCTCCCAATTTTCTCCGCAAAACATCTCTCTAGTCTTTCTTGGTCACCTGGGCAACTGTTATGCGAATGATAGCCGCCAATCACTCACATGCCTTTTTTCCTTAACCCTTCGCATTTTCTCGTGGAAGCGCCCGGATGGTTGTCGCATCTTCTTCCGTCTGTGATCTCTTGAACTTAAAGTCCTTCCACACCTTGTATAATGGACCCGAGCGGATGGGTTCGTTGATAGGGATAGATCACTCGTAGATAATAGAAATGACTATCTCTCAGAGAGAATCAACTCCTTTAGCAATTAAACGATTTATTTAAATAAATCAAGTGTTTCGTCTGATCCCATGGGTATCAGGCATTATATATATACTTATATACTTATACTTATACTTATACAAGAAGGTGACCTAACGAATCGTCGTATTACTAACTGACTCTGTCTGACAAACTGACAAACAGACCCAGTGACAACGAATTCACGAGTTTATATTTCATAGTGGATTCGATTGCAACATTCGTAATAACATTATCCAGCTAGACTTCACGCCTGCGCGAGTTTTGTACGCTAAATGAAGCGGTTGTGAAGTTATCGAATGTGAAATTCAATTTAGGATGACGATGCGTATTGATGGTTATTAAATATATTTTGCAACTTCCAATGGTGAAATCAGAGGCGAATAACTTACCGAGGTTCTCGACGCTCAGAATTCGCGAATCCCACAAAATTTATGGGCTTCATTGTCGCAACGGTTTGCTATTATTGCTTCTGGCTCTGGAGCTATGAAGAACCACGCCAATGGTGAATACCTTCCGCATTATATGCATTCCTCCTCTATTCAGCTCAAAGAAACAACTCCCCAGCCCCGGTTAGAAATTGATTAATCTTTACTGCATCACTGGTTACGTCGGCATGGAATGCTTGTATTAGCCTAAGGGGGCCTTTCACCAATTTCCTTTGCAATTTGAGAAGCGGGCAGTCCTCAAATGAGTCTCCAATAACTGAAGTAGAATGTGTAGGAAATTTTAGCGTTTAATTCTGTTTTGTGAGATGTTTATGTCGATGGAAATTTTATGATGATGAATTTTGAGTGGTTTTAAATAAAATCACTGCACGTGTTTATGGCGTCAACTAAAAGTCAATAATTTATCGATAAAAGATGGCTGAACTGATCACAACAAATAGGTTTAACAGAGTCGAAATTAGAAGAGCGGGTCACAATTTCTATATGTTGAACGGTATCGAGAAAAACGTAATTAATGTTCTGAAGAAATGGAACAATGAGGTGTTCCGAGAAAAACGCGTATACACTGCGTAACGGTTGATGTGGAAATGGGGGAGAGTAAAGGGCTCAAGAGGTGAGGTGATTTAATTAGGACATCATATAAATATATCATCTGTATTCGATAACCGTGAGCTGTCCAGGATGTGGCGCCTTAGGTGTCAACAGTAATAACCCTTGGTCACCAGAGGTGAGAGGTGAGCCCTGCATCTGAGCGGAAAGAGTGTTGGGTGAACAATGTGTGCAAGTGTGGGTACAACTGTCAGCTGACAGGATTTCCAACACATAGTAGACAACGGGCCTGTGAATGTCGAAGTTCTACCATTTAACAAGCATTGGAATTTCAATACTTCTGGAAATTTTTTTTTGTTAACCTATTGAATGGCTTTAAAAGCAGCAACTCGACCTGAATCTATTGGGAACTGAGAGGAGAACGGAATCCTTCGTATTGAGAGTATTAATTCTGTAATACGGAGGTGGAAAGTGAGTAATTCTTCTGATTTGGTAGTATTATGATTATTCCGTTGAGAAATCATTTTTCCATAATTATCTCGAGAATGAATCGTTCTAAGAGAAAATGTCATATGATCGTATTAGAAATCAAGCTTAAAATTTCACTAATTATGGTCAGAAGTAGTATAGAAATTTTAGATATTTTTTGGGTATGTCTGATCAGGGGGCGGCGGAGAAATCACCGCACGTGCCCGTGCCACCCTCCACCGTGAAATAAGCGACGTTACAGCAGGGCCGGGAACCTTCAGGTAGTAAGGAGCCAGCCTATTACTAGGGTCGGGATAATCCTCTCATCCTAATGGGTACCCAATTAGCTAACCATTGTGAGCGAATAAGTCCCAGCAGTGACGATATTGCAGCCAGCCACGTAGAGTGGCGTGGCAGTCGCATAAAAATGGCTGACCCGCCAGAATTGGCGCAAATTTTTAGTTTCAAATTTTAAATAGAAAATAGAAAAATTAAAATTTACAATGAAAAACTCTCAAGAATATATTTAGGAATTGGTTTTCGGTAATTATTATTTTCCTACCAAATAGTGCCACTCTGAATGTGAAAAATCAAAATTTGCCACGGTTATTTTTGGAAGATTCTATTATATATTATATTATATTCCTGATGGTTTTTTTCATCCCAATTTCAATCAATCAAATGCTGGCATTTTCCGTCACGTGGTACAAGTAAAACGGTTTAACTTGGGATATTTTTCAAATATTTCCTCGTTTGTTGCTAAGCAATGACAATATCCAATAAACAATTGGTACGCGTTTCAAACCCCAAAAATGTCATTAGAAAAAATCCAGTTCAAAGACTTTACCTCAACATCAGCAGATTTGGAGGAGAATCCTTGGACATTATTGATCAACAAATTGAAAAAAAAAAATTGAAAATTGAGATTTCCTAATAAAACCGTTTCATCGAAAATCTCGGGCATATTTGTCATTTATTATGGGTTATCTCAGTTCTGTGCATTGCTAGTTTCTTCTCAGAATTCTTATTTTTATATCTCTTTATTCTTATTCATTTCCTCAGCAAGGACTATCACAACTATTGCTCATAATATAATAATTAAATCGTAAAATAATTCGTGGACAAATAGTGGTATAAGACTTACACCACTATTCATCCACGAATTGTTTGCTTCATGTTATTGGGTACAGTTACCGCTCCAGCTCAGGAATTGACAAGTATTTTATTTTATTTGTTTCATTGCTGCAAATATCGTCTGGACACAAAATAATTGTCAAGACAGATTCCTCATCATGAAAACATCGAAAAAATAATTTTTCCTCATATTGCTGCCTATTTCGAACAAAAAAAATTATATTTATAATTCAAATTGATGGAAAATCAAAATTCCCGCTCGATCGCACGGTGGCTCTCTGCCGGTATCGGTCGAACCAGAGCTCAAGCACAGAGAGATATCGTATTAGAGCAGGTAGTTTTGTTAAGTGGATGAGGCCCCTCTCCCAGCTCTGACTAACGAAGCTCGGCAGCCGCGTGAGCCTAATGAGCCCAGGTTGCGGGGCCCTGCGTTACAGCAATAATACGCCTCATTCCGTACCCCAGCTCCGGGCAACCTTCCGGTAGTCAGGAGTCAGGCTATTACAAGGGTGGGGACAATCCTCTCATCCTAATGGGTGCCCAATTAGCCAACTATTGTGTGCGAATAAGTCCCAGTGATGACGATATTCGCATCAGCCACGTAGAGTGGCGTGCGAGTCTAATGAAAATAGCTGACCCGTCAGGATTGGTCCAAAAATTCAGTTTTTAATTTCAAATCTAAAATTGAAAAATTTCAGTTGGCCATGAAAAACAGTGGAGAATATATTTCTAACATGGTTTTTCGGCAATTATTAATGTCCTTTAAAATATTGGAACTCTAAATGTCAAAAATCAAAATGTGTCACTATCATTTTAAGAATATGTTCCTGGAAAATCGATTGCAGTTTTTCAGATTAGATTTTGAATTTTGCTAATTTTGCAACGTCAAAACGAAAAATGAATTTTTTTAGTCATAACATGAGGAAATAAATGTTCACTTTATGTTTCTGGTGATGTCTACTGTCTTACTTGTAATTTCGCTGGAAGGGTAGCATCTGGGACTATAAATTTGTCGAAAATAATTAGAAATTTAAAATACAAAAACATGAATA